CCTACAAGTACGGGTCCCTGACGTGATAAAAACACATCTCCTGGCATCACAGAATGGGAAAACGCGAAACGTGCCTCGCTTGGAAATTAACATGTTGTCACATGGATGGTATCTGGAGTTCACCAGAAGAGGTCCACTGGGACAACTCTTCTGCGTTCTGTGGGGCATCCCGCATTGTCTCGCGGAGCGGTGCAGCCGAGTGGCGAGGGGTCATCGAGCGACGGCGCGACACCGGCGCATCGACGATTGATGCGTCCGATGCGCGCCCCGGGATAGCGGGTACGGTGCCACTGACACGCGACAAGGCGGAGCGTGCGCTCGCTTCCTGCAGCGAGTGCCGCCCGTGGGCTGGGGGATGCTCGCAACCGCCGCCGCTAATTTTCCCCGCAACTGGGGCGAGCGTTTTTCTTGCCATCGGGTGTTTACCCCTCGAGCCCAGCACGCTCGGGCGAAGCGGACGAGGGGAGAGGAACCGATTACGGAATATCCTTTTTCCCGCCGGGTGCGAAACGCTCCTCGTCTTACTCGACGCATCGCGAGTGAGGAAAAAGTCTGCCCCGTCTGAAACAATTTGGAGCCACCCGCGGACACGGCGACGAGACCGTGTCTCGCCCCGTTTCTCCGCTGCGCGCCTTTCTCAGCGAGGCAGCGTCTCTCCGAGGCAGCGTCGTCCTACGCGGTTTGGGGCTGCTTCGGACGCCTTTCGACGGGCCCGGAAAAGTCGGCGCGGGATCGCCACCTATCGCCCGAGGAGCCAACTGCGTCTTGGCTGAGTTTACCGCCGAGACGATTGAAACCTCGACTGGAAACCGGGATTGACCTAGCAATACCCTAATCGTGTTTTGTCGGTCTCTGGCTTGACTTTCGCGGTCATCAGCACTGACAAAAATGAAACTTTGCGCTGTAGGTGGGGTCTTCTGCGTCACGCTGTTGTCATTGCTGCTTCATACCGGGACGCCGAACTGAACTGCCACATTCCGCTACATTTCGCCGATTTGTGAGGAATTTGCGCCATTATCGCGCCGAAATTGAAATAACTTCAATACTGAGCTCCGCTGCACAGCCAGAGCATTACAGTAGGCTTGCGTGAGTTTTCTGAACTTTACAGCGATCGAATAGCGTGCTAGTCGGTTCGATCTTCGTGTCGAGTATCGTCAACATTCGATAGTTGTGCAGTATTTATTGTTTTTCCTGGTTTGTTAATGCGCGTCAGACAGCCCTGTTGAGTGCGCTTCGTTGTGCGCACCGGTGCACTGCGGAGAAGCGACGCCCGCGTTATAGGCGGCGTCGTCTATCTCGCTTCGCGGCAGCGCATCCGCGTGCTCGGGGACTTGAGGGAAAAGTACTCTTCCAGAGTGAGATGAAACGCGCCCACGCGTCGGCTGTTCAAAATAAAAGAAGCTTGCGCTGATGTTGGAACCTTGCGGTCTGACGTTTCCAAATAAGACCTCGGCTAACGTATATGCTTGATTGCGACATCCTGACCACTTGCATACATCATCAGTCATGATTTTTGTTTCCAAAGAATCTAAGGTAGGATACTTGGGTATAGCACACCGTATAACGAGATCATTTCTAAATAACCTCGATGAGGCGTAGCTAAACCATGCTGTAGATTTAAGTTCCATGCCAAATATTTCGTTCTGCTATTGTATATGCCTTGAACTGTTTGAGGGCATAGCCAATAAAGATTAAACTAAAACACAACGAGTTTTAGTGGTGCGTGAATAGAAGTATTGGAAGAACCTCAACGAGTTCAGCTGGGGATTGCCATTGATGTGCATTAGTAAACGAGAAAAGTTTTGAGTTTTGACTAAATTAGGAATTGTACAATTTTATGACAACTTTCAAAACTTGAACAAAACATCCAATTTAGTACTAAGAGAAACACCCTTAAATAGCCACTTGAACATTAATGGCTTTCATCGCTGAGCATGTGTTTCAAAAGTGGCTGCTTCAGTGGGCCTTCTAAGCAACAAAATGACTCTCAATTATTTTATTTTATATTTTATTACTTTTTTTGCACATTAAAATTTTTTTTTAATTACTGTTGCTAATTGAGCTGTCTCTTTCTCTTTTCTTTACCTTTCTTTTTTTAACAATGTCACAGATCATGGTTTTTTATGTTCCATATTCACATCTGATAATGTTTTTAGTTTGCTTTTCCTTGTGCACATCCTTCTTATCCCACAACATATTTCTGGTAACACGAACTGTGCATGTTCGTATGTGTTCTATACTTACATGTGCATGTTGCTATGTGTTCTATATTTACATTAAAATGTATATTCCTGACAAGAGGTGCACCCTTTGTAGGCGTGCACGAGGGCACCTCCCAAAAGTTAAATAAATATATAAATAAAAAAAAAGCAACATTCTCGTTTCTGTGTTTGGTGATTTCAAGAACAAATAAGCTAGTTGAATGTTTGAGGTAGTCACACTGTGTGCTGTGCCATGATACCGAGGAGTGGTTGCACCAAAGTAATAAGGCAGAGAAAGCATTGTTTTTTAGTTGGATAGTTCTGCACATGGGTTTTAACACAGTATTTTCAGTGGAGTGAATTAAATTGAGTGTATGCCTATGCTCCAAAGAGTATCTTTGCTGCTCCAAAAGAGGCTCCAAAATGACCTGGACCACTTGCATCACTGGACCCTGGTGTTGTCAATCTCAACACATTTTCTTGGTTCCTAATTGTTTATTTAGCATGTGTCTCTTGACTGTCAATTTCATCCTGTTCCTCGTGTTCCCACCTGTCAGTATCACTTACTATGAACCTCTCAACTGTTGTCTGTATTGCCAGTCCTTTTCTTGTTCACTCAATGTTTGCTGTCGTTGGTGTGCCAGATTGTTCAATTATTTTTTAAGCTTCTAGGGTTGAATGATTCCTTTATCACCTTGCATGTTCTGTACCACATTGATAATGTCTACAGCTAAGGTGCACCAATATAGATTCGGATTTAACAGCTTCGGGCATCAAAGCACTGATACACTTTCAAAGCTTTTGAATATTTGAATACACATTCTGAAGCCAACTTGGCTAACATTGCTTTCATTTTAGTAGAATTGCTATTATAACAAAAGTCATAATAAATTAATAGTAGTTTAACAGTTTATCATAGTGTTGAAAGAAAGGGGTATTGATGCTGCTTGAGAGGATTATTATAATAATTTTAAATGGACTCTCGGTGTATGAGCGTATATTGTTTGGAACTGTTCTTTTTATTGCAAGTTATTTTTCTGGTGGCTTTTTCAGTCAATTAGGATTTCAAGTTCAGAATTTAATAATTGTTTATGGCAGTGTTTTTCAAAAATTAGGTTAGGCATGATAGAGGCACTGCCATAGGTTGCTTAGCTCAAGAATATTTCTTGAGTTGGATGAACAAGCAGCATGCATCCAAGGCAGCGTGAAACCTGGAGGTTTTTTTGGCAGATTTCTTAATTTGTAAAATAAAGGTCTTTGCATAAAAATGGATAATGGTTGCAACATATTTGCAAGGGATTAAAGTAACATTGCTTTACACATTTTTTGGAGTGCATAATTAGGAGGCATTATTATCAATTCATCTATGTGAGTGTAAAATGAATAAAGGCAAAAGAAAAGTAATGCATTTGCTACACCAAGCTGGAATGCCTGAGAGCTCTTTCTCGTCCAACTCTGAGCGAGCTAACATGTCAAACGAGTGTTTCTGCATCTCGAGCACTCCTAAAGGCCCAACGCATGAGGCACCTAACTCTCACCCTTCTTTTATAATTCCTCATGCCACCTGCTTTTTATTCTTAGCAGTGGCTTCCAAACTATCCCAGCATTGTCTCATTCTTATCTCTTTGGAAAAATATAACGCAAGGTGTGTGCCTGTGCCAGCTACTTACCCTGGAGAACGGGAAAAAAAATAATTTTTTCTTTCCCATTATGTGAAAACTGGATGCTTTGTGCTTGCTCACCGAAGTTTTACCTTCATTTGCTTTTACTTTATCTAATTTGCTCGGCTCATTACCATTTGTACTCGAAAAGGGCCTTGGTGGGAGCATGAGAGTGGCAGCCGATTTTACTGTAAGAGACTCGGCTTCTTTTGACCGATGTCTCTTAGCGAAAAGTCGGTTGCCAGTTTCACCCTTAGCAGGACGCAACATACTACGAGAATACATGTGGAAATAAGCAACAGCCATTATTTTATAGTGTAAACAAGTGATTGTAATTTCTTTTGGTTGTCATTTTTCTCTTACAATCGGAACACTCATTAAAATTATTAATTTGATAGGAGGTGCTCCTTTGGGGAACTAACTCAAGCGGTAAAGTTTGAATCCTGCCACTATCGCTTCGGAGTAAAATGCAAAAAAGCTCTAATGTTGTGTTTATGCTAGCAGCAGTTTATGCACTCACAGTATTTTTTTTATACTTTTAGTGATCTCAAAAGGTACGCTCCCTGAAGTATACCTTTTGTATCATAATATTCCACAATTAATACACGTTGAGTGCATTGCCCTTTGCCAAGTGTAAAACCTTAGCTAAACCTCTCTCCAAGGCTTTCCAAAGATCCCTTATTGGCTTCTTCTTATGCAGCCTCAGCTACGATATTATCCAGACAGAAACAAATTTTGGTAGCAAAAAAGTTTTTTGATAATTTGCACCTGATGCTTTGTCCACACACATTGTCTGCACCTGGTGCTTAGTCTGCACCCAAAAAATTCTTATGCGCAGCAGACCTCGATAAATGGTCCCATTTTAGATCACAAAGAAGCTTTCATAATACATAAATGCGCATACTCTGCCATTCACAAAACCCATTGCATCTAATCATTATGAACCATCTTGGGAAAACAAATCCTTCTACCGTCCACACCCGTAGATAGACCAGGCAGCATAAAATCAAAAGTTTTAAGCATGTGTACTCTGTGGGCTATAGTCGGGAATATAGTGTATATTTGTGTTTTGTTTGGACTTGGCCGCCTCTGGAGTGAAGCTTATGGGTTGACGCCCCCCTTGTCTTTCGGTGTGCAGGTTCTTCGAAATGGCGGCTGCCCCGATGCCGGTGGTTGCCGACGGGTCCCCCGCCGGATCAGCCGCCCCCTTTCTCGAGCTAGGACCCCGGCACTGACCCTCCACCATGGCGTGCTGATACTGCCCCGGAGGAAACCGGTCTGCCTCCTCCTACTTGCACGGTAAGCGAGGGGTTACCTGACTGATCTATTCCTTGACTTCGAAATACCGCCCTGAGCTCTCCTTACTGACCTATAGCAGCCTTGGTACGGCGAAAAAGCAAACCAACCACGAAGCACTAAAGATGGTGCGTGAAACGGTTGTGTGGACGTTACATAAAGAGTGGATGCGACGACGAAAGGGCTTTTATGCTTTTGGGGTTTATGTTGTTTGGAATGCGGGGAGTTAAAAAATATGCAATAAATCTTTGCCCAGAAAAATAGGGAGAACTCTATGAGGTAGTGGCTTCTATTTTTTACTAGTGCTGTACCACATACACATCTGTCCACAGATACTAGTGCTGTACGACATACACATCTGTCACCATATTCCCTATCCTCTCCCATATAGAAATGTGACGTACAAAAGACTCACAATTGTCGCTCAAGTACTAATGGCTGGCTTCCATCTTTTTTTTCTGCAAAGGCCTAATTCGCTGCCCCTTGTCGAGACTCACGCTCGTGCAAACTGCAGCCTTTCCTCCCACAAAGTCAGCACCACCGAGAATCACGTTCACTGCATGCAGTGGAGCTTTCGAGGACATGCATTGGAACCTTAAACTCCTTTATACATACAAATGGGACAAACTAGGCTGGCAGTGTGGGCAGAGTTGTTGCATGTGAGATGCGCTCTTTCCATGTTTCCTGAACACATTGTTCATTCCAAAAGACATTTCTTTGATGTGCAAGTGTAATTTATTGATTTATTTCCTCTGAGGGCCCTCATAGGCATTTCAGAAAGGCAATTGAAAGCTAAATACATATGATAATAACATTGTAACACACTGGCTTGATGAGCGTAAAACAGAGGCCCAACTACTAAAAAAAGATATTATACTTGCAAGAATTATTTTTTTCTTCTGCAATTTGTGAATTACGAAGATGAACAGGCCTCTGAATATTTAGGAAGCACTAAGCTTCTAGTTCTGATAGTGTTTGATGATTTTGAGTGTAGGCTTTGTTATACGTAGAGCTACTAGTCATTTGAGCGTAGAAACACTTATTGTGTCGGAGTTGGACAAGTGGCTTTTGTCACCAGGTTTGCACACTGTTTTATTTTTGCCAACTATAATAATGTTCGCATTTAGGCGAGTTGCTACATAGTCAAATGAAAAAGCAAAACAGCGCAAAAGGCACAGACAAGTGGAAGGCTTTCGGGATGGCTTTACATGGAATAGTCCTGGTTTTGTCTTTTTGTTTTCTTCTTTCTTTTATTGTGCTCTGGTGCAGTGAAGAGAAAGAAGAAGAGAGTCGTAAGTCAGCATGTGTCCATGTCCCTTTCCACTTGGCCCTGTGTCTTTTGCGCTGTTTCACCTTTTAGTTGCCAAACTAGCATGTCAAATTCAGTAGTACTACAAGAAAAGTCTGGCAGATCTATTGGCAGGTGTAATGAGGAAGAGAGCTCGAAATTATGCTGTAACAGTTTCAAAGTATACTGTAAACGACTTAATTTTCGCGGGCTCAATTTTTCGCGAGAGGGGCCAAAGCTAAAAATTTGAAATTATTCGCGGGTTCTAATTTTCACAAATAGAGTGTAGCTATCGTAGCGTTGACATATTGCCCGAATTGTTTGCGGGACATATTTTTCGCGAATTGCAGGCAATTCACAAATTTGCGAAAATTAGGTCCTCGCGAAAATTTAGTCATTTACAGTATATATTTTTATAAAATTATGTCTCTAAAGAATAAGCATGCTTTAGGTTTTTTCCATTCATTTCATACTGATTTTGCAACTGCTCGTTCGTGTGAAAACGGGACATGAGCCTTTTTTTTAGGCAAAACAATGAAGTAAGTTAACTCCTAAAATGGGATTGTCCCACCCAAAATGGGACATTTGGTCACCCTAGTAGGTAGCTTTGTTACAGGATTAAATTGAGCTAGTTAGTACATATTTGTGATGTGTCAGCTTGAGCTGACAGAAACAAACATAGAAGGGACAGTACAATAAAAAACAGCTAACAACTTTGCTTTAGTACACCTCTTCTTCGTATGTGCAATCATCCTTTTTACAAACTGTTCATATATACACAAAATAAATACTAGTTTTAAATAATATTTGCACGAGGAAATATTAAAATTACCGTGACCCTCTCCTCCTACGAGTTATCTGGGCGTGGCACACTGCAAACATTGTGTTTCTTTGCTGTGGATTGTGATGGACAAGTTATCGGGGTGCATTGCACACCGCAAATACTGTTTTTTTGGTGTGGATAGTGATGGACAAGGTGCTAACACATTCTTCCCCGAAGAAGAAGTGTACTAAAGTAAGGTTGTAAGGTGGTCAGCTGTTATCTATTGTTGCGTCCTTTCTACATGTGTTTCTGTAAGTTCAAGCTGACGCATAACTAATCAGGTAGCTTCGTTGAGTGCGCTTCTCACCGCTTCGTTGCACACTGCAGAGAAGCGAGAACCGCAGAGTTGAAATTTTTACGGATCTTGCTTCACCGCATTGCAGCCGCGTACTGAGGAAAAAAATGTCCCCCCAAAGCAGGAACAAAAAAACTTTGAAAGTGCTTATGTAACAACTCTACCTTGCAGTAAAATGTTCTGAACAAGGCTTTGTCTAGTATATATGATAGAAGAGGGATGAATAGATGAATGATAGATAATAAATGAATGCAATATTCTGGCAATAATTTTTTTTTTTTTTCAAACTTGAGATGTAGCAAGGGTACTTGTGTGTTGCAGGATGATTTATATGAATGGCTCTGCAAGCTTATATTTTTTTATGTCAATTCTCCCGTTTAGTTAACACCTTTACATAGGTTTCATATGTATAATGGCACAGCGAGCAGAGCAAATTAAAACTAAATTAGCTGGGGCAAGAGGATGGAAACTTGGGAATACTGTCGAGACCGGTTATAACAAAGTCGGTTATAACGAAATAGCGGCTACAGCGAAGTGATCACAGTTTCCGTCATCGCTTCGCTGTAGCCGCTGTTTCGCTTCGACTTTGTTAACCGAAGTCGGTTATAATGAAATAGCGGATATAGCAAAGTGGTTTCCGATTGCTGTTGACTTCATTATAACCGGTCTCGACAGTAACCTTAGTGGGTTTGACTGGATTGTTTCTGAGGCTTTTTTATTGTTCACATGCCGATTTTTTTATTAAGCTCTAGATATGAAATGTTACTGATGTTAATAATCAAATGACATACGCTTCGGTTTTATCTGAAATAATTTTTGCAGTTTTATTACAACCTTTACGACCTCAGTGAGACATCAATTTAGGTGCTAAATAATATTTTGTTCTAACATTATTTCTGTGGAATATAATTTGGCTTACCTTTGGTTCTGTACCTAAAATAACCATTCATGGCAGTTCATACAGTCCTTCTACACCCAGCATATATGTCGTCGTGCCTAGAGTTCCTACATGCAACTAATAAGCTAGTTAGTTTGGTGTTCAAGGCGTTTGAGGGAACCAAACCTGCCGTGCAATGGATGCTAACAAAAGGTTGCACAAAAGTAGGAAGGCAAAGTATAGTGTCCCTCGATGGATAGGCCAATGCATGTATCGCAACATATAATATTAGCAGTGGTAGGAATGAAAATAAAGTGTATGCTTATGCTGCAAAGTTGATTTTTCTGTTACAAAACAGACTTTTATCTGCTCCAAAATGTGCTCCAAAACGACTCGGACCAATCATATCACTGAGATGGGACAACCTCAGTTTGTGAGTTGAGGGCAAGCATCTTCTACCTGTCTGCCCCATTGCACACTTGAGTCGATGGTACAGTGCAACCCACTTATAACGATAATGAGAAAACTTGAAATTTCAATCGTTTTAACTGATTATTCTTGTATCTGGACTAGAAAGAGATCATTTCCAGCCTAGAAACTCTAAAAACTGATCGTTATAAGTGGGTTGCGCTGTAGTCAGTATATCCCCCCAAGAAAAGCATCGACATCACCTTGGTAATAGTGTGCGTGTCACAGGGGTTATTTGTAGGTTCGATCTCCGGATCTGCCCATTTTGATAAAATTGAATGTCATACCAGTGTGTGATTGCGTAATCTCCGCTACTTGATGCACATTAAAGATTAGGTTGATGGTCGTACTCTACTTTGCTGAATTACCCTTCAACAGCGGAGATAGCAGGTGCCACTTGAAGGCAGCCTAACTCCCCCCGCATAAATCTCCGCACGACAGATTCCCTTCTCTTTTGATGGGTGTGCATTGGAGTGCGGTGTGCAGACGACGCACTTGTCCGTTGTCGTGCAGACATCCCTTGCCTCCCTCGGGGCACAATCCGAGAGCTCTTGGCAACGGGAGAGTGCATGGTGGCAGGCTCTGGCTGGCTCGCCCAGTTGCCGCAAGACCGCTTCCTTGGCCGAAGGAAGCACGCTCGACGCGGGACCATGGGGAGCCGGGGGCACGCGGCACCGACCACGGGGAGGCGGCAGCAGGAGCCCAGGGCAGGACGGGGCACACCACACGCAGGCTAGGACCCAGCGGACACAACCGGCTACGACTACGGAACCACAACCGAGAATTTCGACTTAAAAGTATGTTCTGCTACCTCGCATCGAATCATCCGCGTGGACGTCAAGACTGCCGACGACTGCCCGCGGCGGGAGGTTGTCGGTGGTCCTCGATGGGTTGTGGACAACCTTTTTGTTTGTTTGACTTTGCCCGTTGTGGTTGTTGCGCTCTGTCTAGGGCCCCAAACAATGGAGGCAGTCTGCTTAACCAGAAGTCCTACAAGGAGCAGCGTTGGAAAACAGCAGTGTCTGGCTTGATAAAAATATGAATAGCCATTTAAGCGACATCTACTATGCCTTCAATTTTATCATTACAATGAGATTACGCCAGTGTATATTTCAAACCGAATGAATCTTGCAGTCGGTTGGTGGAGTGCGCAACTTTTGGCACATAGCTTGTCTCGCAATCACGATTAAAGCGGCGTGATAGCTCTATCTGTTGCATGAAACCTTTACTTGTTTGCACCAAAAACCTCGTCAGTTTATGTGATGTTGTGAAAGTCGATGTTCCTCTCCCACCCCTGTACTGTTAAGGGCTGTCCAAACAGGACACTTCGAGAACGCGTAAAGCAACACTTCTTCACCAATTGAAGTGCAGCGATCCGCTTCCAAATGTTTTTTTTTGTTTTTGCCAGGGGGAAATCTTCCCCCTCGTTATCATCCACATGTGTCCTTCATGGAGACCTAGAGCATGCTCATCACGTGGGTCCGGACATCACACGCTCTGCTGGCAGTCAGTCAATCGCTCAAGGCCCCCGCTGGTTTTCAAGTCTAATCTCAGAAACATCGAAGGGGAGGATACGAGGGCGCAGCAGAACAGATGGACAGGTACTGACGTCACAGAAAAGCAGAGGAGGCGAGAAGGAAAGCCATGATGTTTGCCTCACACATGTTGAAACAAAAACTTCAGCTTTCACTTCATATGGCGGAGAAGTGTCGCTTCACGCATTCTGAAGTGTCCTGTTTGGACACTCCTTTAGAGTCACGTGCCTGAAAATGTATGGCAGATGTGCAGCTGCAGCAAACGTTATCAGAGAGGTTACCAAGCAGGCGTACGTGTTAGACACTGTCTGAAGAATGTGCAGCATATAAGTTTGTTGCTACACCGAGAAATTGTTTCAGCCAGTGGGGCAAATTACTAGACACTAATTTGTTTGTGGACTGGTGTAACTCTGTTTCACCGACATCTTGTAATTTTCCAGAATACTGTCAGGTTGGACGATGCCCAGCTTGAATTTTTGGCTTTCTTTTAGTGACAGTGCCTATGGAGGGTATTCACTGGATGCCATAATTATGGGTGGTGTTCAGAGTGCATGCTCATAACGAGCTCACATTAATAGGCTGCTAAGACCGGCAGCCTCAATGGTGAAAAATACACTCTTCAAAAGAACTGTGGAAGTTTGCCGTCGGCATGAGCTCAGCAGTCGCGCACTCGGCTATGGCCGCCAGTGAATGGTCCCCATTGAGATGCCTGTATACACCCATTTTCAAGGTAAACAGCAACAAACAAGATTGCGGCTTCCGGTTGCCATATTCATTCAGGTTACTGAGTGTTGCATGTGTCTTCCTACGGGGCTCGTGCAATTACGAGTGCATATTATCTGAGTTTGCCTCTGAATGATCAATCTCATTACGGGCAGTTATCAACGTGTCTAAGAGGTCCTGAATTCATCGAGCCGTTCAACCTAGCAAATGCGAGGACATCATTGAACTGCGGCGTCAGTACCTGTAAGTCACCTAGATTGAGACGGCGTAGCATTTTGACCACGACATGCGGAGTTTTACCGTTTTGCGTTGAAATACGACAGCGAGCAAGGACCGATACACATAGTAGTTCTACTTGACTACGATCCGTCGACTTATGACTGCAAGTTGCTGGGACCATAATGTTATTATAATGTACGCTAGACGTCCAACTGGCGCAAGTGTCTATGAGACTTCCGCGATGCAAAGTGAAGCAAACAGCAACCAGACTACTTTTGTGGTGCTCCTGCGCATTCCTATGTGAAAACATGCGCAAATTTTTTCTCTTTGGGTGGAAAATGACATGGATCACTTTTGTTATTTGGATAGTACCGAATAGTATGTACCTTTATTAACGTTGTAAAAGTGTAATTGCATTAGTTACAGCAGTTTTCTTTACCAATGAACAATGTAAAACTTTTTCCTTTGTTTCAGGCCCAAGCTCTGTTTCATGGCAGGCATGAAAAAAACGAGCGACGATCCTAATGAAATTAACATTCGAAAGGAATGTAAAGTGTGTTCAAACTTCACCACCATTATATATTGCCGATATGTATGTCCTGTCACGAGCGGTTAAAAACATTCAAAATGTAAAGAATAAAGTATGTGGGCTAGGAAAGGTGCCTCTTATTATTATTTCCTATGCCGGGCAGCTTTCATCAAGCAGCTGTTCTTCGACATCTCCTTATTTTCAAAGATTTCAAGCGTTTGGGTGATGTTTCGAATGCAGAACAAGCATCTTCGCACATATTCATGGGCAGAAAGAATAAAGCAGTACTTATTTATTGCAGATCAGACTATATTACGTGGCCTTCAATTTATTTTGATTGTCTGCATGCACAAGGAGTTGCTGATCCAGTGTTACTGCATAGTCTTTGCCGTCTCTCTTTGTTTTTCCACATGTCCTTCGTTTGTTTGGCCCGTACATCCCCCATGCTGGAAAGCGCTGACGTCTTGTTTGCACCAACAGTGTCTGACAGTGCACATAAATACACGTACAAAGCCGTTTTAGCACCATTTTTAGATTATGAATTTGAAACAAAACCCCCATAACTGAGCAATTATTTTGTCTGCATGACTGAGAAATGTTCTGGTCTACCTAGTATGTACGAACTATTTGCGATATTTGCTCTTATGATCGTGCGCAGGAAGAAAACGCACTAACTTTTTCCCATACTGACTTCCGGCATTACCGGAAGTCAGTTTTCGACTGGTTGCTGTCTGCTTCAATTTGCGACAGCACACTAGTGCCCATTGAACCTGTAGTGTACATTATAATAACTCTATGGTCAAGACATCCATGTTTCCTATGTGGAATGCAAGGCTGCCACGCCTCATACTAAGACCCAGTGACAGGCGGTCATAACTCGTCGTAAGTTCTCATAATGCAGTCGGACGCTACTAATATACGTGAATGGGCCTTTATTCGTGCTTCATACAAAGCACGGTGACACGGCAGTCAATCCACACGGATGGTATCTTGCGCGAAGATGTTATCTCTCTCCTGTAAACCGTTGGAATCATGCTGGCGATCGCAGTGATTGGCAATCTGCGGAAAAGCGAACCCTCAGGTTTTCTTCACAAACAGTGCGGCTTTTGCTTGAGTAAATACGGTATTAGTTTCTCGTTTTGGTATCGCAGCAGAGAGCAGTTCGTCAGCGTCATGCCACAGCTATGTCTTATTATTGCTGCAACGAGCCTGAGCCAAGACGATTATTTTGTCTCTGTTAAAATGTGAAAGCCGTGTCATCCTTTTAACGAATGAATGCACTCTTGAATGCGTTTTATCTTTTAAATATTGGACTCGGGGGATAACTCTAATATTTTTTTATTTGGCAGTGCCTGTTCTGACATTTTACATCAGAAACAACTGATAAAAACAACAGTGATGACTATGCTTGCTTCGAGCCTTCGTGACCATATCACGAAGGCTCGAAGCAAGCATAGTCGTGCCCGATATGGTCACGAAGGCTTCGAGCCTTCGTGACCATATCAGGCACGACACCGATGATGCACGCTCTTCCGCTACACCGTAACCAAAAACTGTTAAATTTGTTCAGGCTCGGCAGGCATGGTTGAGCCCGGAGTGAGTAACCTTTTCTCGAAACAGAATGGAATCAACCCGAGTCCAATAATGCAGCGCCCCCGCCAGAAGCCATCCCAGCCATCCACTCTCAGTGGGTCTTTCATATTGCAGGAGACTGTAAATGCTGTATATCATGCAAATGAAATGCTGCAGCAAGTTACCTGTGACTTCATAGACTTTTTGGAATGTGCATTTTTATTTCATACTGCAGTGCTACTAGAAGGTCACGCTAGATATGGAACCTTTTGCCATTTCTTTGCCCTTGAGTTTGGTATTGTTGAGAGGCTGGCTGAGTGGGCTTTGCTCTGCATTTTCCAGACAGGAGAAGAGGCATGGAGAGCCCACACGGAACCCTACAGCGAGGCACCCTGGAAGTCCGCAAAGACGACTTCTGGGAGGCCATCAGCTCCAACTATGACTACCTCATGAACGACGAGCTCATTGCTTCCTGCAGGGTCAGCAGCCTACACTTTCTGTTGCCTTCTTCCTCCAAAAGTGTTGCACATATGCATTGAGAAACTGGATTCTCAAGAACTTAACAGATTCCTGGAGTACCCTGAAGGGTTCCCTAATCTTCCGACTTTCCTGAATTGTTGTTGTCCCCAATTAAAGTATTTTTCCATTATAAACTGAATTTTAGAAGGTCTGAGCTATCCACCGATGTGGTACGGTGTGCAAAGCAGTTCCTTGTATGTTTATTATTGCACTAATGCTGATGCCAGGAGGGGTCCTCGGCTACCAGTCAAGAGAGATAGGAGTCCCTCCAGATCAAGAAGTGTGCGATTGTGAATTCTAACTAGTAAGGATTCGTCCAGAAACGATGGAGATTTTTTTTCTCTTTCTTTAAGGGCAAGGTTATTTTGTTTCGAATTTGCTTTCGTTGCTCTGTAGATTGGCTCGGCTGGATTAGTTTTATGCTAACTTCATTTGAAATTTTATGCTAACTTCATTGGTGATTTGAAAAGTTTGTGGCCAGGAACCTATTGACTAGCCAGGAACCTATAGACCGTTCCATTAGGGTCACAGCAGAGAGGGTAAAAAGAGAAAAAAATGCCCTCTCCCTCTCACCCGCATGTCGTCTGCTCCGCCGAATGGGCAGTACCTAGCATCCGGCTGGCGTACAAACTCTGTTTAAAATCGCGTCATTTTGGAAGTTTCAAGCGCAGATGCACAGATTTTGGTGTGCCATTTATCGTGTATTACTATGCTAGATAAAAAGACTAACAGAGTTCAATTGCACTGTTATCTGCGTGCAAATAAAAAAAAAAATAGGGAAAACTGTGTCAGATTGGCCGGCCTCTCCGGCGAAAACTAAATCCGGTTGCTGCACCTTTTTTACTATAGAGAGTTCATACTGGTGTAGGCCTTTAGCGACCATGAGTGGATGTCTCAAATAATAAATAAAAACGTGCTCTCCTGCCGCAAAACACGCAGTAGTTGAGGGTAGTACTGCCGGCTGACTCAACTGCTATTTAAGTAACGGAAAAAAAGATATGTCAGTTGATCATTTACCGAAGTAGAACAACAGAGACTCTAGGCTGATTTTGGAGTAGCCATAACTATTCTAAGAACGCGAACCACTTCACAGCGGCAGCCACGAGCGAGAGTTCGATGTTCCGTACAGCCCGCCGATACAGCCCAAAGATGGAGAATGGCAACCTCATGTTTTGTTGTCTGCTAGCGGAGTCGGGCACATGCCATCTTTCTCGTTTTACCCCGCCGAACCCGCTGAATTTCCCGGATGTATGGAGAGGGCGCTGCTGCCGAACAAAATGGTGCTGCCCAGAGAGCTCTAAATGGAATGGTCTATTGACCTATAATTTTTTGTGTTTTCTGCTTTGGAGGAAATGCAGTCTTTCCAGTGAGGTTTGTATGCATTTGTGAAGGATGTTTCCTGGCCCTCTAGACATTCTTCATCCACAACTGTGTCAGAAGACTGAGGTCGAATACATCAGCACATTTGACCTCTATCTTCTCTTGAATTGTGTGTGCACAAGTTAGTCAGAGGAAAATGGAATTGCCACTTTCTGACATCCTTCCCTAGCACCTACAACTATTGCATGAAAACTATTCCCGCCTTACAATGTGCACCCGTGAACTAGACTTTCATATTCTGTACTAACGTGCGTGAGTAAGCTTTGATTCCACTGTTTGGCTAACCAGTGTTGCCCACTCTACGAGGGTTGTTGCCGGGTGCTTCAACAAATATTATTTCTGGAGACCCGCAAAGTGGCCTTTTATGCCATCGGTGCCGCGTCGCGCTTGAAGTTCTCTGGCCTGTCTCCCTGGCCCTCGCAGGAAGCAAGTGGAGAGCTGGCGCTGAACGAGGCAGGAGTGTCTCCCCCGTGCGAGACGCTGTCCTTTGCCGAGTTTGTCCAGCAGTTCAACCTACTCCACGACTGGCTGCACCGCCTTCAGTCCTCCATGCTGGACTGTGACCCCGAGCGGAAGTCGGAGATGGCCGCTGTAAGTGGTCACTCGGCGCGCAGCCATGTTCCGTTCATCCGATGCTTGGTCAAAAGAGTTTCTGCCCATCCAGTCGAGTTTAGGTGGAAACGAGATTGTTTTGTACGAGTATGACGTGGAATCACTCCAGGTCGTAGTAGAAGTAGAAGTAAGAATTATTCTAGTCGTAGTAGAAGCAGAGTACTAGTTATTTTTCGTTCTTCGAGCACCTGAGCTTATTGTATACAGTCGAACCTCGATATAACGAACTTCAATGTAACGAAATCCTCGATTTAACGAAGTATTTTATTTTTCATAATTTCTTGCCCATAGACCCCATGTATTTTTAGTCTCTATATAACGAAGTCTATTTTGCTGCTATTTCAATATAACGAAGCGCCATGGCCATAGAAGGCAATAAATAAATAAATTCTAAAAAACAACTTGGCAAAAAAATTGTGGTTAAAAAAAATATTATGCGCAAACGCGAGCGCTTGATAGGTTACTTCACGGGGACAGGCCTTCCAACGTTCCTAGGCTGCCCGAGCAGCCCGAGGATGCGGCGCCGGTAGCGCCGGCGAGGCATGCGACAAAGCGGATTCCGCGGGGCTGGCCAGAAAATGCCGAGCAAAAAGTTAACACGGCATAACAGCATCACCACTGACATTCACTGATCATCATAGTCCACTGTACCGCGGGTAGCGCGGGAGCCAACTTCAGCGGGGGAGCGACGTGATGGCGCGACCGCACGGGCAGTGCCATCCAAAAGAAGACCGAGAAGACCGATTATCGTCTTGCGAGCGTGATGTAAAGCAAAGGCGCAAGCACACTGTGGGCGCTGTGGGCGCAAGGGGGCAAGTAAACTGTGCGGGCAAGAGTGCTGTGTCGGTTGGAAACGTTGGCACCGCGTAAACTAAACAGCTTTATTTTTCAACTGGGCGGTTCACTCACGTGCTTGCTGCCATAAGGAAACGTAAAGTTTTTTCTTTCGATGAGAAAGCAAACGTTTTGGACGCCATCCTAAAGAAACTGCCGAGATCCCGAGCACTCGGGAAGTGCTCGACGCAATGGACGTACTGAGGAGGTACACGGCGTCGCATGGGCAGCAAGATGCCGTGCAAGCGCTCTGGGCGCTCGAACGCAGTATGACGCCGCATGCTACTGTCGGACAAGGCGCAAGCAAAACTCGCGGACTACTTTGCCCCTAAATAAATGTCATTTTCGGTAAAATGTAACCCGTAAAATGTTTCGGAATTTTTTTTTTTTTGCATGCTAAAGCCAAATTTTGATTTAGCGAAATTTCAATGTAACGAAGTAAATTGCGAATTTTACCGACTTCGTTACATCGAGGTTTAACTGTATAATGTTCCGAGAGGGCAGTGAGCATCTGGAAGCCATAGTAACCGCTCATTCACACTGGAAGCGGATCCGCATTCGCAAAGCGGTTGCGAATGTGGTTGTATAAAGATCCAGTACAATTTCACGTGCACTTGATGACATCAAATGCGCGTGAAATTGTACTGATCCTTTATACAACCGCGTTCGCAACCACCTTGCGGACGCGGATCCGCTTCCAGTGTGAATGAGCTGTAAAAGGGGGCAATGACAGGCGCACCTCGGGTGCATCTATAGCGTCATTATCGAGGGGTGCTGTAGGGCCCACATTGGCTGCGCTCCAAATCTTGCTCGTGTGGATCTGGGTTTCTCCCCCGGGTCATATCAGTTGATAACGCGAATAGAGTGACGTTGGATGTGAGTAGGTTTTTAAACAGCTCGGTTTTTTTAACTGGTATGGTTTGCTCCAGAGGGAATCGGAGGTGCATCAGTTTTTGACGAAAGTGGCAGCGAATATTCTATATAGTCAAGTCACCACAGAGTAATTGTTTTACTCTCGCTGACGAGCTATTTGACACAACCAACTTGTAAGCCACTTATTTGTGTCGGTCTTACAGCCACGATTACAGTGAAACCCGTTTATAACAAACAGTAGGAAACGTTACGATCAGTTCGATATAGCAAGTAGTTTGATATAGCAAACCCCATTTACAAAACCCAGCTACGACTTTCCCGACGATTAAATATCGATCTTTAAATCGCTGCAGCCACCCAGATCCAGCGGTGAAGCCCTCAACGTTCAGGAGGGATGCAAAATCTCTAGCCTTGCTTTGCAACATCGGTCCGGAGACCGGCAGGTTCTGCACACGAATGCTCAAAAACCATTGGTACAGGGCTTTTTCCACCTTGTCGTACGCCGGCTTGCAGATGCGCCTGCTGTCCGCGTTTGGCCGTTCACAGGCCTTGTCTCGGATGGCAGACTTGTTTTTAAAAATTGTACTCGGCGTACTTCTGGGGATCTTGTAGGCGGAGGCAACGTCTGATTTCTTTTCACCGTGCTCCACACGACTGATGATGTTGACCTTGTCGGAAAGTAGCAGAGCCTGCCGCTGCTTCGTCGTCATTTCGGGCGCGAACTAGCTGGCCCACACAGTGAACAGAAAGTGCAATGGGGACAAAAAAGACGACAACAAACGACGACTAAATTAACGAGAAGAAAGGAGGGAGGGAGAGAGAGAGAGCTTTGCCTGGTGGTTGACGCTTTCAACGGCATGTGACAGTGCTATGGAATCTGAAATGCGATAGGCTTATTGCCTCTTGGGGCGTGGCGTGTCAAGCCCCAAGAGAACGCGCAAGGTGAGGAGGGTCAAACTAGAGTGCCTTCAAGTTCTCTTCGGCGGGACATGCAGGCCCCTTAGGTCAAACTAAAGTGACTTTAGGTGAAACAGGGCGCGAAGGGAGAGGAGGCGAGAACTTCTCTTTCTTTCTCATCTCTTCGCTTCCGCCTTGAAACAACGCGCTAGAAAGATCTTTTTTGTAGCTTATCTCCATTTTTTAATTGCTTTTCTTGGTAAGCAACCGCTTTGCACTTAAAGATTTTTTTTTTCTGTGCCCCTTCGGAATCGTTTTTCTTCGCTTATTTTTGTTAACAGCTCAAGCTTTTGGAATTTTTTTTCTTTCCTACATTTTTTCGGACGAAAACATTGGCTGAAAGACGATTGTTTGCGTGTTTTTGGAAGCCTTCCCAGGGGAAAAAAGTTTGATATAGCTAATATGTTGTTCGTTATAAAAAGTACTTTTTACATACATTTTGATTTAAATTTTTCGTGAGTTTGATATCGGCAATAATTCGCTGTATGTGGGTTCGTTCTAAACGGGTTTCACTGTACTTCACTCGGAGAAATGACCAGATGACGTCTCGAAAGAGCGCGTTTTCACACGACGATACGCAATTTTTTTTTTTTCAAATTCGGGGAATGCACCTTGAAGTTGGTAGTTTTACTTTCCTCGGAAAGTACAAGTACATGCCCAGAGAATATACTTCAAGTAAAGTACAAGTTTTCTAAAACTGCTTGTTTATTATTTTTTATATACACCAACTCATGTTTACAAACAAACCGGAGCGCCCCTAGCGGATGCCACCGGCGCCGCGCATGCGCGGTGGACGGTGGGCAAAAAGCCTAGCCGTCGCCCATAAACAAACCATTGAATTGCATTGTTTTCGGCGTCAGTGTGAGTCCCCCTGCTCTTTTTCGCGTTTGAATTGTTGATTCTACGTCTTCCTGGCAATGTCTGACTACTTGAGCGGTCTCAGCGAAATTAACGAGGCAAAACTTTGCGTGAATAATGTGACTTGCGGCGATTCATTTCGTGTGGATGCCGCAGAATGGGTGCTAAAGTTTGACTTCCATGATGAGATTTTCCTCGCTATTTTCAGTCGCGACGTCGCTCGGGCTGCAAAAGCGTGGACGGTAGCTGAGATGGTGGACGTCGATACTGAAAACCGCAAGTAGAATTGGGCATTACAAATCGGTGATGGCCACTGGTAACAATGATCAACATCTACTTGTATCTACTGTTTACACTTTGCCTACATACCTCAACCAACCTTCAAAGGTGTTCTGAGGCCTGCACTTAGTTCTTATCGCAATTACCGGGTCAACGTTTGGTTTACGGGTCGCTGTCGTTTGAACGAGCTGACGACAAAAAGCAGACAAGTTTGAAAGAGCAGACGACAGTTCGAACGCATGCGAGATGGAGTGCGAGCAAGAAGCACCGCATCCCGCGTCTACAAAGCGTTGGAATGTCACGTTGCCGGCGTCTGTGTGAGTCTGCATACTCTTTTTTTTGCGTTGGAATTGTTGATTCTGCGTCCTCATAGCAATGTTTTACCACTTTAATCGCCTGAGCGAAATTATCAAGGCTCGTTACACCGCTAAACTTTGCGTAAATAATTTGACGTGCGGCGATTCATTCGCGTGATTGCCACAGAATGGACGCCAAAACCATGATGAGATTCTTCTAGATATTTTCGGTCGCGACGTCGCTCGTGCTGCAAAAGTGTAGAAGGTAGCGGCGATGATCGACGTCTATATTTAAATTTGGAAGCGGAAACAGACCAAGCGTAACAAGTCGGTGATGGCCACTGGTACCAATGATCAACATCTTGTATCTACTGTTTACACTGAGCCTACTTCAGTCTTTTGAGGCCTGCATTTACTTCTTAATGCAATCACCGGGTCAAAGTTCGGTCTACGGGCCGCTTTTGTTTGAACGAGCAGACGACAAAAAGCAGACAAGTTCGAAAGAGCAGACGAAAGTTCGAACGATCAGGCGGCCGTGTGAATTGGAAGACGCACTGAACCCGCGGGTGGCCCGGACAGCTTGGCGGTTTTCTCTCGTTCATGTTGGAACAAAACAAACACATCTGGCGACCACAAAGTGTTGCCCGCACAAGCAATCGTAGTTCGACAGCGTCTGGTTTACCCTTTTCACGGCTACTACCCATGTACTCGGACGAACGGTGCGGGCAGAAACACATGAAAACTGATCTTCAAACCTTTCCAGACTCTTTTTGGTACAGTCCCCGTCGCAGCATTATGACGAGAACGCAGGTTTTTTGTCTGGTTTCTCCGAAAAGAACACAAGAATGCATGTCTCGAACGGCGACTTCTGCCCACCGCCCCAGACCGGAAGTGTGTCCAACGCGCCACCACCGCGGCGTGACGTAGGAGAGTTGAGTTTGTGTATAAAAACATTGGGGGAATTACTAAGGTTTCTCGAACGATCTTTGAATCTTTGAAGATCTGTATATTCTAACTTTTGTGAAAAAAGGCTGCGCAAAAAGGCCCCCTTTGCGTTGCCCTTTAGCACGCAAATCTTCGAGTACAGCACAATACGGGAGCACCAGATGAGCCTCAGAGCAGCTGCTGTATTTTGTTGCCTCCTTTGAGTGAGGATGCAGTGTGAGCACCTCCTGTAGTGGGCGAGAGTTTCTACTTTGGGGAGAGGCGGAGACCAGCCCTTTCTTCTAATGGGTCAAGTCTCCTTGAGCTTCGGGACAGAGAGAAACGCCGGTCTTCGGCGCTAATCTTGCAATTACTCGGCCTCTCTTGCGTCGCGCCTGTTCACTCCCCGCGCTTCGTAGCAGTGTTGTTGCAGGGGGGGGGGGGGGGGGGGGGGGGGGGTTGGGTTGGGGGTTGGTGGTGCTCGGGAAACGTTTGGGGGATTTTGAACTCTCCAACCCATTTTTTTCCGCCCTCTTTCCCTTTCCTATGCCACATGCTTCTCCCTTTGAAAATATCAGCTGATCTCCCAACATCTTATCTCTTTTGTGCAGGAATGTTTGTTGTTAGGCAAAACAATCACTAAAATTCGAAAGTGATTTCTAATTTGAGTAGAAGTTACTCAGAAAAAGTAATTAGACTACTAATTACCGAAATGAAATACAAATGTGATTCAAAGTTATTAAACTACGCAGAAAAGTAGTTAAACTACAGTAACTTGAGTAGAGTAGTTGAATTACATACAAGTCTGCTAGAAATACAGAAGATTGGAGATAGCTAGCATGAAATAATGTCAAAACGTAAAGAAAAAAGTCTCATAGTTTCAAATTGCTCACAAAAATCACAAGCAATGGCAGTATCATTTGCGGGAGAGCCAAAATTTGTAATGATTCTCCTATTGACCATATCTGCAGAATTCTAACGCGGAGGTAAATTTAACTTGCTGATGTCTGAAAACTGACTTAATGCGATTATTCTACCGCACAAATAAAATATTTTCTATATAAACTATTGATCGCTGACCAAGCTCATTGAACTCTGTCAAATCACAGTCTCAAATCAGAGCCTCACGAGGGTTCGTACTAAGGTTTGTCATTGTCCATAGACCGGTGTCTGGAGCATGTCTGTTGTCCTGTCTCTTGTTTGCGTTTTTCCTCTTCTCGGTTTTACAGTGGTAGTTGTTAGCGTTCCTTCCCAACAAAACATGCTCATGAACGAATGCTAAACACCACTCTAACAGCAGAGGTAGTGCTCTCCTTCTTCCCGTCGTCCCTCACACATGCACACCAAGTGTGGCAAAGCTCTCTCTCGCCCCCTTCCCCCCCTGTAGGCTGCCACTGTTCCAAAAAACCCACATGATCACGGGAGAGTGCTCTCCATCTCCATATTGTTCTTGCTACATCCACATTCCCTCTGGCTATGCTCTCCCTTCCTCCTTTCCCCGTCCACCCCGCCTCCCCGTCGGCGTTGTGGAATACCCATGTTATGGAATACCCACGTGGTCGCGCTGTGCAGACACGCTTCCTCGCCTCCCCACTTCCGCTGCCCAGGTTCCGTTCTCGTGTGCTCTGCATGCCTGTACAGAACAGCTTGAGTACATACTTTCACTTCTTCCACAGCAGGCGCGGTCACGGTGACCCCATTCTGGAAGAGCGTTTCGGCCAAAAAAGAAGCATGTCTCTGCATCCTTTTCTAACACGTGCAACACCTCACAGGATAGTTCCACCAAAGCACGCATCTCCTCACATGCATCTCCTACATCAATTCCACTGAAAACAAACAACCCATTACAAACGTTGTACAGCACACAGGCTGAAGGCAAACCTCCTCGTTGTACCTTTCCACAGCACAGCAGCTGCCGCTGTCAATCGAAGCACACATTGTGTTGTCATTCGCAATTTCGTTTTTCTTTTTTTTTATCTTCATTCGTTATATCTGATCTTACAAACCATCTTGAGTGCTGACAAAGGCACAGGCACGAGCAAATAGTTTTCAAAAACTCTTTCAATGTGTGAATGCTCGTGCAACAAAGAATTACCGTAAAATCCCGAGAGATGCCCCACCCCCGAAAGATAGCCCAACCCTATTTTTGGCTTGGTTTGCTATATTTTTTTTAAACACCGAAAGATCGCCCATTCCTATTAATCGTAGTACTGGGATCTGTGATGGCCTCGGCGTAAATGCGGCTAGTTAGCTATGGTAGGATATACGCGAACATTGCTGACTGGGAAGTACAGACATCTTTGCTTCGTTGCCGGAAGGGACACGACCTTAAAATATCAATTTTTTAAACTTTTCTTGATTGTACATTGAAAGTTAGCCCACTCCATATTTTCACCCGATTTGCTCTTCATGTTAGGTGGGCTATCTTTTGGGATTTTACGGTATGCAAGGCCACAAGCCCATGCCCTTGCCAACATGGAAACCAACTTGTAAAAGGGAGTATAAACCTGTTTCTTATCCCGAGGTTTCTTTAAAACTACAGCTGGAATTTTAAGAAATTGTGAATCCGACTCAACGGAAGGCATTTTAGACACTCACTATACCAGTGAAGCTGATTCTGTCTTGCGTCCCTTGGGTGCAGCTGGTCCGACAAGAGCTGCGCCAGCGGGAGACGTCGCTGCAGCTGTTTGCCGAGGAAGCCCAAGGGCTGGGCGCCCTGCACCCCAGCATGAAGGAGGAGGTGGGCCGCAGGGTGAACCTGCTCTCCAACAAGTGGGACGCCGTGGAACGGGCCGTGGACCCCGACAAGGACGCCCGCGCGGCCCCGACCCAGGCCTTTCAAGGTAGACAGTGCCTGATGGGTTACAGTTCGAGCAGTGCTGCCAACTATGGGCTCTGAAAAGTATAATAGCCAGCCTTAGAACGGCGTAAGAAAAACAAATAGCATCGTCGCCATGCGCCAATCCAGAACACGGTTGGGGCTCGCCTCGTGTTCATTGGTGACGACCCTATTCCTTCGTGAACTTTGTGTATGTGAAGCTTCTGCGTACGCTGTTCTAAAACTTGCTGTTGACTCATCTAAATGAGGTACTGACTGAATCGAGACCCCCTAAAACAGCTGGAGGCTGTTCAACCTCCTTACAACAGCCCTGCTTATGGATGTGGTACAATCCAACAAAATAGAGACCATTTATTTTTGAGTGAGGCTTACCACGTTTAAGTGGTAGGGTTGTGCCAATATTCTAATTTGAAATAGTATTTTAGAATGATACACTATTTAGTGTTCGCTCGGAGATGATCTCAAACTTTCTAGGTGCTGACGAAGCCACAGTCACTGCCGGTTAGTTAGCTGCGGTGAATATGCTTCCCACCGAGCACTGGCACGCTATGGAGAAGCCATTCTGCGAATCTCTTTTAAATGTGACAGCATTTTTTCTTTACCGCCTCCACGTGCATAGGGGAAAAGCTAACCTTCGGACCGGGCGTGCACATGGTGTATATTTGGAAAGATCTGAAAGTGGGTGGATGTGGATATCTACCTTGCAGTAAAATTCTCAAATGTAAACTATGGCTATTGCACGTGAATCTGTGTTAGGCAGCGATGTCCTGGCAAGTTGCGTGCATCTTTGGTCATGCATGTATTTTAAATTTTAGATTGAAGAAATTATAGTTAAGACTACTGTGAGTACTTGTAAATTCCCTAGATTAAGTATAGCTGGGCATCACTCTAAGATTGATATTTTGTCAAAATCCTGTATTGCTCTCCAGCTTAATGTAGGCCTCATGTAGTCCAAGGTTTTAATGAATAGATAGATTAAAATTAACGAAGCTTATTGCTGGAGAAATGGAAGCTTGGGAATAATAGGTTTAGCTCGGTTTTCTTAACCTTGGTACGACAGTAGTGAAAGCCTCGAAGAAAGACATAAGAGCTCAATCTTTGGTGAGAAAATATTCTACCAAATACTGAACTTAAAATGTACCGTTTGCATATGCCTAAAAGGCACATGCAAATGCATGTGCATATGCAGACGCATATGCATATGCAGACGCATATGCATATGCAGAACGCATATGCTTCTAGGCATATGCGTTTGCATATGCCTAGAAGGCATATGCAGTCTACCTTCTATAGACAACTAACACAATGGATTTTGTAATCAGTTGGCTGTACTACACCCTGCTGCGGGTGAAAAAAAGCAGGTTAAGCTCCTTCCACAAAGCCCATCACCCTTTTCACTCAGCAGAGTGAACGTTGGAGAAGGGGCGAGACGAGGTGAGGAGGGACTCTACCCAGCATTCGCTCTGCTTAGTGGAAAGGGTGGAGGGCCTCGTGGGAGGGGCCTGTACCGCTTTTCTTCACCCGCAACAGGGTATACACATATATGCTTGAATAACATGAACATGCTTTACTGCCATCGTTAATGTCGGGGACAACTTTCTCTGGCAATGGAGCCAAAGCTTTAGAGTGGTTTCATGAAACGCCTCCTCACTGGAAATAGGCTGCGTTCTGCCATGTTGATCAACAGCATCTGCCAGTTTTCCTACTCATTTTCATGCAGACAATTAGTTATTGGCTTCGTTTTTAGTGTTGGTGAAATGCACAAGCGTGGCGAATGGCTCCGTAGATGACAGACTTTGATAAGCATGCCTTGGGACGTAGTTTGGTCGCGTGGACCCGTGCTTACTTCGCTTTTTTTTCTTTTCGGAGTAGCCCCTGCAGCATCTACCGAGGACATTTTTGCCGCCCATAAATTGTTCTCTTCATCACCGGTTCGTGTCAAGTCCAAAAAAAGAGGGGCCTGTTTTTCTCCTACACGAAGAGTTTCTATTGCTGTGCAGTGTTGTGGAGTTGGTAGCTCTTGGATATGCCAGTCTGTAAGCTCCTACAGTACAGTCAAGCCCGCTTATAACGAACAGCAGGAAACGCCACGATCAGTTCGATATAGCAACTAATTCGATATAGCAAAAACCATTTACAACCAACTTTCATGATGCGTTCATTGTAGGGCGAGAGCTTCCTTTTCTCCCTCATCTCTTCGCTTCATCTTGTAATAAAGCGCTGAAAAGATTTTTTTTTTGAATGCGTGTAGAGTTTGTTTTTTAGCTTATCTCCCCTTCTGAATCACTTATCTTTGAAGGCAACCGCTTTGGGATGAAGTTTTTCTTTCTGTCCGTGCGTGCAGTGTTTTTTTTTAGCTTTTTCTTTTTTTTTTAATCGCTTGTCCTTATCAATTTTGTTCGGGGCTTCAGCTTTTCAAATTTTCTTTTTTTCCTAGATTTTTTTTGGGGGGAAGGGACAGCCTAGGCCATTGTTTGCGCATTTTTGGTAGCCTTCCCGGAGGGGAAAAAGTTTGATATAGCCAGTATGTTGTTCGTTATAAAAAGTACTTTTTACATGCATCCTTATTTAAAATTTCCGCGAGTTCGATATCGACAATAATTCGCTGTACGTGGGTTCGTTCTAAACGGGTTTCAGTGTACAACCTCATTATAGCTGACATTGAGAGTGATAAAGTTCTTGGTCTCTAGTGAAAGGAATATGCAGAATGCAGCTAGTTACTTTTACTACAGACTTTGATGCGAATTATGACTGGAATCTGAGCCGCCTTGGTGGCTCCGAGGCGAGAGCGCCGGCCTACGGATCCCCATGTGGCGGGTTCGAATCCCAGCCGAGGTGCTCGCAATCTGACGGAGGCTTATTGCGGAGAAGGAGCCGTGTAATCGAGCTTTCGGTTGCACGTCAAAAGATCCCCAGGTGGTCGAAATTAATCCTCGTCCTCCGCTGGAGCGTGCCAGATGCCCGTCGTTGGTTTGGCTCGTAAAACCCCCAAATTTGACTTTTGACTGGAATCTGTTCTAACCAGTGGGACTGACAAAATGAGAATAGATATTAGAAAAGTACCATCCTATTGAAATTTCTAAACTTTGGAAGGTAGCAATTTTTTATTGAGCTGTACCGATGCGCGTGATCACTGTGTGCCTTGGGTCGTATGAGGCTCGCAAGGCACCAATTGCGACGACAGCAGTGCACCACAAAATAGACGCCGCCACTACTGCACCAAAGCCACATAATGTCAGAAATCACTGCTGTTAAAGAGTCCGCTATGATGGAATGGCCTAGTGCTTACAAACTCCCTAATAAAGTTCATTATACCCAGATGTATGTTATAATAGAATCTGTAATAAGTGAAGTTGGCTCAATGGCATAGAACTTCACAAATTGGTATGTTGTGACCTAACATATGCTGTAAGCAGATCTGTATTAAGGAGGTTATACTATATTTGTTGCACCCTTGAGCTGCTACTGGAAACATGCGGAGGTTCGACTTGAAGCTCAGATTGCTGCGTACGTGGCAGAGCTGGCAACATACGTGGCTGACATGCAGAGGAACTAGGTTTGAACCCCGCTCGGTCCGGTTCTTTTTTTTATAATTCTGTACTTTCTGGAAAGTTCCAGCTCACTCTGGGCTGTCGTCGTGTGTTCTGAACATTCCTGAACTTGCCACATGTATAAAAGTAGCGGTAGTGGGCTACTTGGGGACTGTCATCCTTCCGTCACCGAAGCGAGACGCTTGGTACTTTAAAGCAGTGCAATGGTTCCTACCGAAATGCCTTTGTGCTGGCAAGGTAAGTAAGGCGCCTTACCTGCTGGACGTAGGGCCCTGTGGTCTGGGGTCGGAGAGGTGTCGAAGAGAGCTTCAACAACACATCCGAATCTCATCATGGCCGCCCGGCGAGTTCCTTTCTGGGAGTAGGAGAAGATGCAAAACTTCATCATTCGGCGGTCGTCACATTTTCCGAAGTCATGTCCCAAATGAGGGGATGTGGAGCGAGAGCCCCTAACACTGGCAGCCGGTCTCTGCACGAATGAATCATAACTCCCTCGGAGGCAGTCGTGTGTTCCTTCCCGTGGTTGTTATGGTGTCTATTTGGGGAAGGTAGACCAGAGGAATCTCTAGATCCTTCCCATCTTAAAAATAGCTGGTGCGCCTTATGAAAGAATGAAGAAATAAGTGAGTGCAAACATTTAATGGGTTTATCCCTCTCGATCGCCTATTGGCATCAGGGGAAGGGTGTGATACACAGTCCTGGAGGCCTGCCTTGTGTAGGTACGCGAGAAGCGAATCCAAGACCTCTTTTTACAGTGTTGCAGAGGCCCCGTAGGGTGAGTCCTAGTGCGCTGGCTCGTAGGCTCTTCTGTGTCTTTGGGCAGCTGAGCCCATGCGGATTCCCAATGCACTTTTAGCGTTGGGCATTCCCAAGGAAGGTGCCGGAGGTTGGCAATTGAAGCCCCAAGCCCTCCTGGGGTACACCGAGTACAGCGACCTTTTTTGGATTTCTTTTTCAAAGAGCGCTCATTTGGCTGGGGGGACTACAGCACTGGCCCGTATCATCCGGAGTCGAACGGCCGCCCAACGGCTGTAGCCAGGTGCGGCCGGGTTCTCCGGAAGCAGAAGCTGGAGCACGTTACGCCTTCCTTCCTTGCAAGCCTCCTTGCCCCCTTCGTAGTCTTAGTGTTTTCCAAGCCTCCTTGCCACTTCTACGTAAGCTTCTGCGAATAGGCTTTTTAGTTTGAAGGAAATTCAAAGCGAATAAATTATTCAGAATAATTTCAAAGCAAATACTTTGAATAGTTGTTATCTACGTATAAAGGGCGGTAGTAAAAGCATTCACTCAACCGTTTATTTCCACAAGCCTTCAGGGTTTACAGATTTTCGTGCAAGAAGACAAGCTGCTCGACGTGCTTGGTGAGGGAGTGCTCCTTTCTGCAGCTCACAACAGCTCCAGCATTTGAAAAAAAGCCGTTCGCTCCTCGTCTGCGTTGCTGGTATCGAAAGATACC